CGCAGGATCGATCACCTTACTATAAATTGACCTGGAAAAAAAACACAATTTAGTTAATGCGCTTCTTACTTTTTCTGGAAAAATAGAACGTATACCTATTGGTAGAAAGTGTTCCATTATAACATGGCAATCATGTGTCTTTAAACTCTTTAACTTGAGGTATTTCAAGATACAAGTCATCTAATATCTGAAGATTATCCTTTTGGAACTTTAACTTCACTTAGAAACTTACACAATATCTTTTTCTCCTTTCTAGATAAAGTATAAGCAACAGGTGGTAGATATGTTCAATTTCCTTTCTTCAAGGATCCTAATTCATTTCTTATTCTCATCGTTACCAAGTCTTTTCTTGCTTTAAGACCATCCTTAGACTTTCCTTGTATATTGAGTAACGTACCAATAACACTTTCAAATACATTTTTTCAATATGCATAACATCAAGAAAATGTATTACATACAACGACTTTCAATACGGCAATTCAAAAAAATTGATCTCTTCTTCCACCCACGCGTGACAAGCGTATGAGCAAAAGGCTTGCCAAACTTAGTACTCTTATCTTTCATCTTTTCAAAAATTTGTTCACTTGTCAATGTAGGTGGAGCTCTACCTTGTTCTGAATTTCCATTGCATGCTTTTCTCCACCCATGGTAGTGATGATTAGAATTTAAGAATCTACGATGACCAAGAAAGACATTCTTCTGACCAAATTCCAATCGCGTCCAATATGTGTTTTCTTCACAAATAGGACACGCACATTGACCTTTAATGCTATACCCCAATAGATTTCCGTATGCTGGAAAATCATTAATTGTGCCAAACAACACCGCCCTTAAATTGAAACTTTCTTTCCTATATCCATCATAAACCTCCACACCGTTCTCCCACAAACTCTTTAAGTCTTCGATTAAAGGTGTCAAGTATACGTCTATGTCATTCCCTAGTTGTTTAGGACCATAAATTAACATAGATAACATCATGTACTTACGCTTCATACATAGCCATGAAGGTAGGTTATAAATCATAATAATTACAGGCCATGTTGAATGTGAGATACTTTGTATACCATGCGGATTCATTCCATCAGTTGATAATGCCAAGCGAAGGTTTTTAGAATCTTCTCCAAAATCAGGATACTCATTATCAATTTTCATCCACTATGGTGAATCTGCTAGATGTCGATACTTGTCATCTATAATTTTATCATCTGCATGTCAAGTCAAGTGTTTTGCATTTGTTTCACTATGAAACATGCGTCTAAATCTTGTAATTATAGGAGAATACCATAAGACTTTTGTTGGTGACAACTTTTTCTTATACTGAGATACACCGCATTTAGGACACTCGTTTAATGATGCATATTCATTTTGAAACAAAATGCAATCATTTGGACAAACATGTATCTTATCATAGCTTATTCCAATAGAGCATAAAATTTTTTTAGCTTCATAGGTTCGATTGGGGAGAACATTATCCTCCGGAAGCATCTCTTTCATAAGGGCTAATAACTCTGTGAAACTTTTATCCGACCATCCATTACCCGCCTTTAAGTTGTACAACTTTAATACCGCAGACAATCTTGTGAAAGTAGTGCAACCTTTATACAACGGTTTCTCTACATCGCTTACCAACCTCTCAAACATCTTGGGACAATCCTGAAGATCTTCTTCAAGTGCTTCTGCAATCTCTTTGACTCGATCACAATTATATGCATCTCTGCCATTTTCATTTGAAGCATATGTCGTATTATCCCCTGGTTCAACATTCTCGTTACTTATCTCACCATGTAATGTCCAACATGTATAACTTCAATCAACTCCATGTCTCTTTAAATGAGATTCCAACTGAACTGCGTCAATCCGACGCCCATAACAGCAACCTAAGCAAGGACATGTGATCCTACTAGGGTCTTTGGCATGTTCAACAACAAACTTAACAAACTTTGGTACCCCATTCTCGTACTCTTTTGACAATCGATTGGAAGACATCTATTTTTTATCCATACTAATTAAGTAGGCTAAACTAAACTAAGTAAGCTAAACAAAAATAGCAAATACCTGTAGCACTTGTAGAGAAATCACCAACTTCTAGAACTACACAGTAAGATTCTTAGAAACGATCACAATCTTCACAAGTAACCCCTATAACAAATTAACATACAAAATTAATTCATGTTTTCATCAACAACATCAACATCAACATTAACAACATAAACATTAACAACATCAACAACAACATTTGGAATCACATTTAACAAAATCAGAAAATGATACATTTGGTAAGAAGCAACTAAACTAAGTAAGCTAAACAAAAACAGCGAATACCTGTAGCATTTGTAGAGAAATCACCAACTTCTAGTACTACATAGTAAGATTCTTGGAAACGATCACAATCTTCACAAGTAACCCCTATAACAAATTAACATACAAAATTAATTCATGTTTTCATCAACAACATTTGGAATCACATTTAACTATTAAGCAACTAATCAAAATTTATCTAATTCTCATGTAACTATTAACATAATAAGAACTCTTTTCAAAAATCATATAACAGAGTTATAACAGAGTACAAAATGTTAAAGCTAATGCATTTCTTAACAAACTATTCAAAATTGTTAATTTTTAAAATCTTATTATAGGTACGAAATATCTAATATTGTTTATTAAGTAATTTTAGAAGACAAAGTAAGTTCAAATAATATCACTCAAACTCAAACTATAATTTTCCTGAAACCAGAATATATAAAATGCAAAACTATACTGTCGAAGTTACAAAATTCTGTTTAAAATCATGTTTAATGCAGAATTTTGGTTTCCAAAGTTACAAAATCCTGCTTCAAATCATGTCTAACATCCTGCTTCATGACATAATTCTACATATCAATAACAACTTCATATAAATGAGCTAACTCATGAAAGTGATAGATGAATTAAAAGTATATCACATCATATTTATAATACCGATTATACTAACAATTATCATAACCGAAATACCAAAACAGAAGCTTCCCTTTAACAAAAGTTGTAAGTTTCTAAATTCTCTATTAAGCTAACACTTAGAAACCGGGAACAAAAGATGCTTACAACTCACTTTTTATAACCTAAATATCCTAAAAATGAAGTTTCTAAATATCATAAAAATGAAGTTATTGTTATTGCTCCAGATTTCTTTGTCAATGAGATTAAACTAAACTATAAACCCTAGAGAAAACTAAACTAAACTAAATTCCTGCAGAAACTAAAACTATCATAAACATAGAAATAGAAATAAAAACAGCAATAACACCGCAATAACAGTGGTGAGAGAATGAGAGAGAACGTACAGAAGGAGCACGACGGAGGGCGATGGTTCAGTGGTGAGAGATTGAGAGAAAACAATGGAGATACGACGTTAGACGGAGGGAGCACGACGGAGGGAGAAGGTTCAATGGTGAGAGATTGAGAGAAAATGACGGAGGGAGCGCGAGAGAGAGAAAGAAAGAAATACTCTGAAGTGTGAAATGAAATAATGAAAAGTCTGTTTTATTTTTAAATAACTAAAGACCTATAGCAGCGTTTTCTAAAGCGCTTTTAAACCCCCCTCTATAGCAGTGCTTTTTCCTTAAAATCGCTTTCTAAAGTCTGCCTAGGGCAGGACCTTTAGCAGCGCTTTCGTATTCCCCCCTATAGCAGCGCTTTTAGAAAGCGCTTTCGTATCCCCCCCTATAACAGCACTTTTAGAAAGCGCTTTCGTATCCCCCCTATAGCAGCGCTTTTAGAAAGCGCTTTCGTATCCCCTCCATATAGCAGCGCTTTTAGAAAGCACTTTCGTATCCCCTCCCTATAGCAGCGCTTTCTATAGTATTACAAAATAACAACCTTTAGCAGTGCTTTTTAGAAAGCGCTTTCTAAAGCCTGTGATTTTTTCTTTTTTTATAAATCTTTTAGCAGCGCTGTCTTTGCTGCACTGCCAGGAATATTTTATAGAAAAAATAGAAGTGTCTCACCTCCAACATTTATATTTGTGTGATTTTAGATTCATCCGGAGATGCATCTCCGAAATTTGGAGGATATTTTCGAATTTTTATATGATGCTTTTCAATCCTATCGAATGCAGTTAGAAATTTCCTAAAATGAAACATATATTTAAATGTGATATTTCCTTTGTCCCAAATTATAAATCACTTTGAAACAAAATAAATATGTCCTAAATTATAATTTACTTAGAAAAAAGTATTTTAAATTAATAGTCATTTCAAAATTTCAATACAAAATCGCTAATTTTTTAATAGAATATCCCTTATGTATTAATATTTCTTCTTTTCATTCTTTTTAGTATAATTAGTGAATGAAAATATTAGAAAGTACATATGATTTTTCTCTCTCGTATAAAATTAATTGTGTTGTTCAATTTGTGTAAAATATCTTAAACGGGAGTACTACGAGACATATAGTCTAAAAAAAAGTACTACTATCTCTTTTTCTAATTATAACACCCATTTGAATATTTTGTTTGTCAGTTTTATAAGACCTTTCTCAAATTTTAAAATGCATTAATTATTATTTTTTAAACATACCGTTCATTATATTACATTTTTTAAATTTGTAATAAATACTCTTGTATAAGCATTATCTATTTCTCTTTCTAAATGATAAATATGTGAAATTATACCGTTCTAATATTTTAATCAATTTTTTAGTTAGCATAATTTATTGTATAAAGTCTTTTATTTTAAGTCGGAGGTAGTATTAAACTTAGGCCAACCTCAAACAAATCTAGAACAATAAACATCCTCAATAATTTATTTATTTTTTGGGAAAACATAATAGATGAACCCTAGAAAAATCACTAATATAATATAATAATCCTCATCATCAATCACTAAAAAATTATTAATTTAATCAGAAAGGAAAAAAAAAACATTTTATTGCTTATACAAAAAATATTAAATGAATTCCAAACAAGACTTCAATAAACACACAATAAAAAATATCTTTATGGAAAGATCTAAGCTAAAACCATGGAGACAAAGATTCCAGCAAAAGCAGTAACAACAACAAACGTATTGGTGATAGAGAATGCAGCAGATGGTGCCTCAGCTTCTCCTGGTGTTGATACTGGACCATTTGTTCCGGGTGCTGGTGGAGAAGAAGTGTTTGGGGTTGGTGATGAAGGAGAGGGTGATGGAGAAGAAGTGGTTGCCGGAGAGGGTGCTGGAGAAGTGTTTGTGGAGGGTGATGGAGCAGGTGCTGAATTGGGTGATAATGATCGGGTAGGTGCGGGTGCAGGAGCCTGTTGTGCTATGCATGAGGTAGCCAAAAGCCCCAATATCACAAACACTTTGATTGCAACAGAACCCATGTTATGTATGTTTTTGATAAAGAAGAGTGTTTAATAAGAAACGTGAGAAGAGAGTATAATATAAATATGTTAGATGAGAAGAGAAGAGATCTAAAGAATATATTAGATGAGAAGAGATTGAAGGAATATATAGAATAGATTATTTTTCTTTGTTTGTGCTTCCATTCCAAGTGAAGCATACGACAGGTTCAGCTGGTGAGTAAGGTGTTGTATGTCTCTACGTAACGCAGAATTTTCCCGTTTGTTTGGTATAACCGTGTATAACATTTCACAGTATGATTTTTCCAGGCTGTTTCTAGATCAATATTTGATGTAGTGTGTTCAAAGATTGGACTTGTTCATGTAGGGTCTGTGTGATCGGTGATAGCGTAAAAAAGCGGTTTCTTACATCACAATAACACATCTTTTCAAATACAGCTATGCTATTCTTAGACCCTTTTAAATATCATTTTTTGTATTTATACGGTGTATAGTGTTTTTATTTTTTTAATAAATAAAAAATAATATTTATAATACGTAAATAATCTATGAACAGTGCATAAATAATATTTTTAAAATATTGAAATAAAGTTGATTAATAAAATATAAAAAATTAATTAATAAAATAATAAAATTAATTTAAAAATAATTGTTAATAATAAATTAAAATTAGTTAATAAAATATAAAAAATTAATTAATTAAATTATGAAGTTGGTTAATAAGCATACAGATACTAAGAATAATTTTTAATAGTCAATAAAGTTGTTAATAAAATATAAAAGATTGATTAAAAAAATTATAAGATTAGTTAATAAACATTCATATCTAAAAAATAATTTTTAACAACAAACAAAATTGATTAATAAAATGTATAAGGTTGGTTAATGAAATTATTTAGTTCGTTAATTACACAATTTTATGTCAATATTTTTTAATTTTAAAATTAAAAATATAAAAAAAATTAAAATAATAATTTTTTATATTTTATTTTAAAAATATTATTATAATATTTTATTATTTATCATATAAGTAAATAATAAAATACGGTGTAGTGTATTATTTTAGTGTTTATTTATTTGAATTTAAAAAGCTATTTGACACACAATTTAACACATATACAGTAAGTATATTATACCCTTCAGGATACAATTTGTGGTTTTTTACATAATTATTAATGTTTTGATGATAGCAAATTAAAATAAGATAACCGTAAAAAAAATAGGAATAAAATTCTTTTTTAATGTGTTTGAGTGAGTAAAACACTTAGTATCCATGATATTTATACATACTGTATAAATAATTACATATTATGTTTAGAAAGAGAAATAAATAATACTTCAATCATGAATCTAAATATACATCAACTTAAAGACTTAAATGTTTCTTTAAAAGGACACAATGAATTTTTCTATCTCCAACACTCTCTCTAGGGGTGTTCATGGGTGCGGGTCGACCCGCAAACCCGCCTACCCAAACCGAACCAACCCACTAATTATTCGGACCCATTCATTTACGGGTATACCCGACCCAACCCGTAACAACCCGAATAGATTTGGTTCGGGTATTGGGTTTTAGTTTCTAAACCCATGAACCTGTTGACCCAACCCGTTGACGTGGCATAATTAATTATTATTATTATTATTATTATTATTATTATTATATTATTATTATTTATAAATTTTAAAGTTGCTATAACTTTGTAAATTGTAACGTACACAAAGATCTTTTGCACTTTCCTTCCAGTTTCCAATCACACATTAAATTATTATTATTATTATAATTAAACATTATTATTAATATTAATCATGCTTGTTTGACTTATGCACTTCTAGTTTACACTGTTGTTGCTGGATTTTATGTTGTTGCTAAACGTTTCATTGTTGTTGCTGGAATCTTTTACAGCTACTGTTGCTGGATTTTCTGTTGTTGCTAAACCTTTCACTGCTGGTGCTGGAATCTTTTATAGTTGCTGTTAGATTTTGGTGCTATTAGACCAATATTGGACCAATACATCTATGTCATTTTAAGACTAAGTGATATTTATTTGCTTTTGAATTATTTAGAATTTATGAATTTTATGGAAATGATATTTTATGGAATTTTATATATTATTAAGTGTTAATATATATGATAGTTTACGGACCTACTTTTAAGCATGTGTTAGAAAAGGTAACATTTGAGTATCAAAACAACTAATATATACTGTATATTATTATATATTTGTTTTACATATGTTGATATATATTTGTAATGGATAACATTTGAGTATCAAAATAACTAATAAATTTTTATAAATTAAGGTATATTAATGAAAATATATAAATAATTAATGGTGTATATGTATCTTAATATTTTTTATGACAAAGAAAATACATTTCAAAATTTTAATTGTTATATTTTTAATTATTCTATTTTATATGTAGGATTTGTCTCCACTACGTAAATAATTTAATTGTTTGAAATATGCAAAATTATATTGAATTGTGTTATAGATTTTTTAAATTGAAAATAATAATTATTATATACATAACCCGTGGACCCAACTCTACCCAACCCGTAAATATCCGGGTTGATTCGGGTCGGTTTTTAAAGTAGAATTACGGGTTTGATGATAAACCCAACCCATTGAAAGTTGAACGGGTTGGGTAACGGGTTAAGGCGAACCCGGTCCAACCCAACCCGCGTACACCCCTAACTCTCTCAAATTGGTGAATAATTATTCTCCACTCCATCTTCCATTTAATTAATTTAAAATTTAAGTTAATATTTTATTGAGAATATCCACAAGTTGCCGTTACGAGGACACATAGGAGATGCAAATCAACCCACTATCAAGCTTCTACTTAATAAAGTGTTTATTAACCTCAATATGCTTAGTTCGATAATGTTGAATTTGATTGTCTATTATATTGATAGTTAATTTATTATAACAATATAGCTTCACAGGTCTTTCCCATTTGATTTTCAAATCTTCAAAAATAATTTTTAGCGAAAGTAATTCACAAATGCCTTGTGCCATAACTCATAATTCAGCTTCCTCACTAGAACATGCTACTATATTTTGCTTCTTATTCCTCCAAGTCACAAGATTTTCTCCAAGAAATGTGCCATACCCTGTAGTGGACCTTTTATCAACAATCAAACATGCATAGTCTCCATTAGTGTAGGCCTCAAGGGTTGTTTTTTCATTTCTTTTGAACAAAAATCCTCTTCCTAGAGTTCCCTTGAGATATTGCACGATTGTATGAATTTCTTGTAAATGAATCTATTTAGGAAAATGCATAAATAGACTAACCATACTTATATCATATGCAATATCATGTCTAGTGTGAGACAGGTAAACTAATCTTCCAACTATACATTGATACATTTCTTTATCTACTACAACATCTTCTTCTTTATTAGTCAATTTAATATTTCGATCCATAGGAACGCTCAAAGGTTTACATGATGTTTTCCATGTCTCTGAGTAAATTTGTAATATATTTTTGTTAAGATATAAAAATGTCTTTTCGAGAATATGCCACCTTGATTCCCAAAAAGTACTTCAGTTGTCCAAGAGTTTTTATTTCAAACTCTTTAGCCAAAGAATGACTTAAGATTTGTTGCTCTTTCAAATCATCTCCAATCATTATAATGTCATCCACATATACTAACATAAATGTTACTCCCCCATGTGGCTAGTGTTTGATGAACAAGTTGTGATCCTCTTGACTTTTCTTATACCCCAAAGATGTCTTAACCTTATTGAATTTTCCAAACCATGCTCCAGATGATTGTTGTAGGCCATATAATGTATTTTCAACCTACAAATTGTATTGTCATGCACATTTTTTTTATACCCCAATGGTACTTGCATATAAATCTCCTCCTCAAGTTCCTCGTGTAAGAAGGCATTCTTCACGTCAAATTGTTGTAAATCCCAACTATAATTGACAGCAAGTGACAAAATTACTCTGGTTGTAATCATCTTTGCAACCGGAGCAAATGTCTCTGAATAGTCAATTCCATAAGTTTATGAAAACCCTTTGGTAACCAACTTGACTTTATATCTTTCAATTGATCCATCAACCTTATATTTTACTATGTACACCCATTTGCATCCAACTGGCCTCTTCCCTTCTGGTAAAGTTACTAACTCACAAGTTCCGTTCTTCTTCAATATTCATGGCTTGTGTCCATTTTTCATCAAATAAGGCCTAAAAAAACATTTAAAGGTATGGAAGTAGCATTTAGGTTTGTAAGAAAGACTTTATGGGTAAGTGAGAATTTTTTAAAGAAATATAATTTGAAAGGGAATATAAAGGTCATTTGGTGCATTTCCTGGTTCCTTTACTAATAGAAATTAGAAGGTCTAGGTCATCATCTATTGTTTGGGTCATTATTTTATTTTGTAATTTAGAAGAATTAATTGCCTCATTAAAGGAATCAATTCAGGCTCTTGAACTTGTGTCGATTCAGGAATCATCTTTAACTTTTTCATGTAAACCTAATTATTTCCATATCTTACATCTATTATAGGTCCAAGTTTAGCTATTGGTGTATTTGATTGATTTGACTCAGCTCCTAGTTCTTCAGTCTCAGATGGGTCTGGTACAAGTGTGTTTAACTTGAGACCATAAAGATTGGGTGTAGTTGACTCGAAACTGGAAAGGTTATGTGTATTTGACTCGGCACGAGAATAATTCAGTGTATTTGAGTCATGACCAGAATAACAAGATGTATTTTTGAATAATGAGTATTTTTGAAAATATAGTTAACGATAACAACAACGCAAGTATCGTTATCAAGGATTCTTGTACTATTATTAACCAACAATTGGAACAATGGGAGATTTTAAGTTTCCATTAAGAAAATAGGGGAAAATAAGTGATTATAAAAAGTGATTATAAAATAAGCTGATCTACTGTTTCGGTCTCTTAACTTATCATTGATTCAAATAATTCTCAATCTCTAAGCGGACTCTATTCCCTTTTCGATTATAATATCAATCAACAAGCACAATTGATACTACAAGATATATATTCCTAATTTCCGAATTAAGTAAACGGATA